CAAAATTACCCTAAAATTAAAAATAGGCAACTGAGGCCACTGAGCTGAGTAGCATCACTCTGACAGCTTCCTTAAGAATAATTAATTAATTCAGAATTAAACAGGTAAACACACATTTCTTGTGTGCAGGTCTTAACCTTTGGCAGCACATCCTTCCTCCCTCCTTGACTTGTCTTCCCCCAAAATTCAGGATCTGATTCTTTATTCCTAATTTTATTAAATGTAAATTGAAAGTATAAATATTATGTTCAAAAGCAAGGAAACAATGGTGCTGAGGGACAAAGAGACGTGCTCGCTCATTCACTCAGAAGCTGTGAGAAGGATGTGGAATGTGATTTGCATGGGAAGAATGGCACCAAACATCAAAAGTTATTCCAAACAAAACCACTGATTCATTCCCAGGGAGAGGCAATGATCTTGTATATTCAAGCACATCAGGCAGGGCGGATTATAATACATAAACTCTATTGTATTTTAAGATAAAAGCATGGAGTTCCCCAAACATGCTAGAAAATTAGCATTTGAGTTCTGAAGACCAGAGGAAGCTGAATAAATTTCTGGGGAGAAAAAAAATCACCTGGTTCACCAAATTATAAACAGCTCCCTCTCATTTAGATACCTGGAGATGACAGTCAGATTTTGTAACACAATGAAACTGTCCTCCCTACAGCTCTGGCTCCATTTTTAGGTATTTTTTCCAAAACACACAGGACGAGAAGAAGGTGAGGGAATTCTGTGTATTTATTGCTGGTGCAGATAGGATTTACATCTGATATCCCAGAATAATGACATCTACACTAGCAGCTAAGATATTCTGGTTTCAGAACTGAGCAACTTTTAAAATCCCCTTTTAAGCTTTGCAGTCACAGAAGACTCTTAATAATTGATTATAATTGATTTTAACCTTGTCCTAACCTGGGCAAAATGGCAAAGCCAATCATCTTTGTCCAGATGGGATACGAGAAAAGAGCCCCCAATACACAGCTTTAAAAGCTCCAGACATGAGCAGAAGATAAAATATTTAGTCTGCAGAAGCCTTGACCTCCCAATTCCAGCCAGTTTTGAACTTGAATTGATTTCCGACAAGGCATCTGGGAGATGATTACAACAAAATGCACTAAAGCTGGGCAGCCTTTATTTTAACATCCCAGCAGCTTAACCTGTTAATAACAGCAATTGTTTTAGATACAACACCAATTTCGGTAACAGACACTGGGAATGGTGGCGGTGGGAGAGCACAGCCACTCAGATCCCTCCCCTCAAGGTGCTGCCAGTGCTTCCATCACCAACCCCTGTTTCCAGGGCTTTACAACTTGGCTGGGAAAACACCAGCCAGGGCTGAGAGGCTGGAGATGGGCAAAATGCCCACTGAAGCCAAGGGGGGCTTTCCCTGAGATAAACACAGTCAGAGCTTGGGCATCAGTCAAAGGGTTTGTTATGAAATAAGAGATGAAAATACCAGAGTTGAGTATTTGTTGTGGTGTTTCAGTATGACTTTACTCAAAGGATGAAAAAGGCTTTGCGAGTAAAATCATAAAATCACAGAATGGTTTGGGTGGGAAGGGACCTTGAAGCCCACCCAGTGCCACCCCCTGCCACGGGCAGGGACACCTTCCACCATCCCAGGTTGCTCCAAGCCCTGTCCAACCTGCCCTTGGACACGTCCAGGGATCCAGGGGCAGCCACAGCTTCTCTGGGCAACCAGTGCCAGGGTATCACCACCCTCACAGGGAGAAATTTCTTCCCAATATTCAATATAAGCCTACTCTCAGTTTGAAACCATTCTCCCTTGTCCACTTCTACACAGCCCTGAAGTTCTTCTAATACTATAAAAGCAAAAGTCAGATTTGGGGATTACTTATGGATAGAGGTTTGCTGACCTTATTTATTCGAGCAAGTCAATTGAATTAATTTCATGAATGAATTAAATAGGATATGGCCTTACATTGCCATAATGTTAAAACCAGACATCATCAACACAAAAATCACACTTCCATCTAAAGAAAAAGACCCAGAATTACATAATTTCTCCTGTGTTTTCACTTATTTCCCTTGCATCATCAGTATCTCCTTTTGTAAATATTTTATCTACTAATATACTTATTTATCTTTAACTCGCAGTAAACTTCGAAGCAAAGAATGTAATTTGCAGACTATATTTCAAATGCTCTAAAGGAAGGTATGACCATCTGACCACGAAACAGAAAAAAGAAATATTTATAAACTTAAAAAAAACGAAATTACAAGACCACAAATTAAACTGGCAGAAATAGGGTTTGTACCTACTCTTGTTTCTTCCCACACCACCTGCCTTGTGTCAGTAGTCAGCACCTTCCACTCGTGTATTTTTCTTTAGTACTTTGCTATTTATGTTTTATATTACTAGAAAAGAATGGGAAAAGCCCCAGTTTTACAAAGATGCTGCTGTTTGAAGCATTTGCAGGGTAAATGTCAGAGCCATCAGTGCTGGATGTATCCTGTGAGAGCCCAAAAGCCAAACCAAACTGTATTATTATTTTATAAACACTGTCCAATCCAATCACGATTAATAAAGTGGTGGCACAAACTGTGCTGTTTAGTTGGGTGGATTTTTTTTGCAGCAGGAATCACTACTGAAATATCCTCTATTTTAATATGCAGATGTTTCTTTAAGCACAGACATTTTAAGCCCAGTTATCGTATTCCACGCAGTGCCTGAATTCCTGAGCATGTTTTTTGACTTCACCCCTTTCCCATTAGGGTTTGAGGATAAACAAGTGTGTAAATGCAAAACAATCCCGCATTTATTACTAAAACAATATTGAGATTTTCACGAGTAACCCTTAGACAATTACAGCTGTTGGTACCATACTTTCACCATGGAAACTTTTGTTTTACTTAACAATTGAAATTACAATCAGATGTGCTCATCCCTCGTTGAAGTAATGAACAATGGTACATCTGAGGGAGAAATTCAAAGTGCATCATTTATCTTATCCTATTTTCAATTAGGCCGAGCGCGGTGTAAGATGGCTCCAAACTACACCACAGCAACAGGGTAAGTGAATTTATTACCACTCCAGTGCTAATCTTAGCAGATGGTAAAAAAAAAAATATTTTTAGCATGAAATATGCTAAAGCAATAAATCTAAACAAGGTGGATGTTATCAACTAATATCTCCCCAGTGTGAGGTAAAACTCCTGCCTGACAACTCAGCATTCCTATAAACTCGGGGTGAATTCTGGAAGATATAAGTCTCTCTATAGGATGAAAAATAACAGAAATTAGTAAAAAAGGCATTCCACGTGCAGTTTAATACAGCAAACCTAGGAGAGGAAAGAGAGGTACAGGATTTTGCTTAGCAAGATTTTTTTTCCCCTAGACAACTCATTTTTTTCTTACAGGAAATTTTTCGTTGACTCTGGGAAAGATATAAATCCAGTAATTCTCTCCTGCTTTGGAAAAAAAACCCTACTGTCTAGTTTTTTTAAATAGCAAATAAAAAGAGAAATATTAAAATAATCTTCAGAAGAAAATAGGTAAAATTTAGGGAGGAAGGATACAAAGAAACCCCTTCACTTGCCAATCTATAAGTGTAACAAAAATATAATAACAAGCAAGAGTTGAATAGAAAATTGTTTCCATTGTTATCAACAGCACATTACAAAACACTTGCAGTTCAGAACTTAGAGTCCTGTACCTGTGCAGCAGTGAACACATTGAAAATACAGAGAGTAAAAAGCACTCGGGAAACTTTGGAGACTTCTTTACAACATATTATAATCAAAACAGTTAATTAAATTATAACAATATTAAAATTAGTAAGTATTTGCCACAGCTTTAAAACTCATACTGCTGCTGGTCTTTGTGATGGATCATGAAAATAAATGATAGGTTCCCAACTATAAATAAATAGGAAAAGTGGTCTTTTTTGAGGACAAGAAATCAGGACTTTGGCCAAAGCCTCTGCCTGAAACCATGAATAACAAAAGGAAATAAAACTTAAAACTGCTTGAAAAACATGTTAATATATTTGAATGTGCATCTCAGTTTTCTTAAAAGTATAACTTGCTGAGCAAATGAGAAAAGTAGATTGGAAATGGACTTGTGAGGCTCTGGGTAGGGAATGGGCACCAGTAGGGAAATAAAGGGAATGTGAAGATGGGCTGGGAGAAAGTGAACTCCAAAGAACCCGTATTCCAGTGATTCACTGAATTACTAATTTTTATTCATGTACATAACTTGGGAAAAAAAAACAAAACAATTGTCCCCCCTCCCCTTAGGAATCCTGCAAATTATTATTTTTTTTTTTGCTTTATTCCACCTTTTCCAAGCATCAGGTAAAAAGTATATAAAAAACAAACTAATTGATCATAAACTACCAAGCAGGTCATGTGTGGTTCCCAAGTATCTCATCAGATTTCACAGCTGGGTAACCAAGTGTGACTGAGGACCAGTTTGTTGGCCTCAATTAGACCAAAGAACAACAGCAATGGAAGAACCTCACATATTGAAAACAGGGCAAAATGTATATATTGCAGGCTAGAGAATTACCCAGAACTATTCCACTCCCAAACCTTTCCAAGGGAAGACTGTCCAAACTGAAATTAGTACAACATATTACCCAAAGCATTGCTGTAATCTTCATTCTCAAATCACCTGCCTGTGTGGCTCAACTTTTTCTACTAAAATACATCAGAGCAGAAGTAAAAATGAGGAATGTGTATTTGTCCCAACAAAAGCTCAGGGCTGTAGATTTTACTCAACAGAGAGACTGGCAAAAGGAAACTTCCCTGAATGAAGGCTACAAGACCCACAGAATTTAAATAACTTCCTTATCTATTAAAATATAAAAACTTATAATAAAATTGTGGCTGTAAAAAATCATAGAATTAATCTATATTGTGTCTTTACAGTTTTGCTTCAATAGTAGAAGTAAAATAGATTAAGGTTTTAAAAGCAGTAATTTTGTTGCTCTAAGATTTGGGTATTACATTTTTATGCCTCGATTAAGAATTACCTTAATTTGCTCCTTGGTTCAGGTGTGCTCCAGGCTCACAGGCTGACCACACAAAGGCAGAATTAATTCAGAGGGTTTTTTAACAAACTTCAGAAACTTTTTTTCCAACCTTAGAGATTAACGAGGAGACCACGAAGTGGAGATGAGGATTCAGGCTGTGCCAGCACCCGAGGCTGAGGTGACATATGCTGGAAGGGGGCTCCCTGTGTGCCAGGCAGGCACGGGAGAGCAGCTTTTCAAACTGAGAGAAGCTCAGATCAAGAGTCTCCGGTGTGCCAACATCAACTCCAGCAGTTCCACCTGTACAGAACGGAGATTTTTAGATGCTGCACACCCAGGAAAAACCTCCCAGTGGGCAAAAAGAAGAAGGAGAAGATTATGCACAATAAGGGAGCAGAGGAAAATCACAGACCTAATTTAGGCTGGGGTTACCTTTGCATCAGAAACCATGAAGGAGGTGCCCTGGGACCAGAGTGATGGATGACATGTGGGGAGGAAATATGGACAGCTCCGGGAGCTGGAGACGTGAGGAAAGGGATCCGCCAAACCTGGCTGCACAGGGAGAAGTTGCTGTTTTGTGGGTTTTTTTCTAACAAAACACACAAAATTTGTGAGTTTGGGGGGGAATCCCAAATTCTGCCCACCCAGCGGGGACTGGGCAGCAGAGGGGGTTCATCCCACCCTAGAGCCCCTCCCCAAACTCTACTGACATCCCCTTTATTTCCCCCAATCTGGGGTTTTTTTGGGTCCTCCCTAACTGTGGGGTGCCCCCTGAATTTAAGGGGGTTCCTGAATTTGGGGGAGCTCACGCCCTCAAACACCCCTTTACACCCCACAACCTCCCCCCCAAAATACCTTTTAAGCCCCCCATCCCCCTAAAAAGCCCCTCAAGTCTCCGCAAAGTCCCTTGCTCCATGGTTTCCGCAGAAACAAAATGGCAGCCGTTCCACAAAATGGCAGCTGTTCCCCCACTCCATGCCCCATGGCTTCCCCAGATAAACAAAATGGTGGATGTTCCCCCACTCCATGCCCTGTGGTTTTCCCAGACACAAAATGGCAGCCGTTTCCCAGCTGCAATCCCCTTGGTTTTCCCCAACACAAAATGGTGGCTGTTCCCTCACTCCATGCCCTGTGGTTTCCCCAGACACAAAATGGCAGCCGCTTCCCAGCCCCACACCCCATGGTTTCCCCAGACAAACAAAAAATGGCAGCGATTCCCCCACTCAATTGCCTGTGGCTTCCCTTGACACAAAACGGCTGCCATTTCCCCCCTCAATTCCCCTTGATTTCCTCTGACACAAAATGGCAGCCGCTCCCCAGCTCCCTGCCCGTGGTTTCCCCAGACAAACAAAAAATGGCTGCCATTCCCCCACTCAATTCCCCTTGGTTTCCCCTGACACAAAATGGTGGCCATTCCCCCACTCCACATCCCTTGGTTTCCCCAGACAAACAAAATTGGCAGCCATTCCTCTACTCCATTCCCCTTTGTTTTACCAGACACAAAATGGCAGCCATGCCACAAAATGGCGGCTCTTCCCCCGCTCCACGCCCCAAGGTTGCCTCAGACCAAAAATGTCAGCACGGACTCTGACAGCGGGGCCTCTGAGCAGCAATTACCACCAGGAAAGGCTGTTGTTTGTGCCCCAAACACAAACATTCCAAGGCTGGAGCCTGCTCTGAGCGGCACGGACTATCTCTGGCCTGTAACGTCATCAAGAGATGTGTGTTCTCAAAATCGACAGTGCCACTCAACCTCTGTTTTACAGCTCACAGAATCACAGGATCACAGAATATGATGAGGTGGAAGGGACCCACAAGGATCACTGAGTCCAATTCCCACTCAACACATACCTGAGGTGGCTGAACAGGACCTGCTCCGAGGAGATGGGCAGACCAGGAGCATTCTGGACACAAAAAGTAATAAGTAAAGTAACAGCAAAAACAAACAGCTCAGAAAAGCAAAGCAGGGCACCTCTATATAATTCCTGAAAAGGATTTATAGCCTGTATAAACATGGATCATAAACCCATTGGCAAATAGATACAAGTTATTTCTAAAAGCTGCTTAGTTTAGATGTCAGAACTTAGAGTTCTGAATGGATGCAGTAAGGCAAAGAGACCCACTCCTGCTCCTCAGGACACATAATGCTGTGGCTTGGGAATGTACTTGCTGTTCTTAGCAGAGACTTGATTTTTGATCCTTTCCAAAGCTTGGATTCCTGCTCAAGGACAGGGCACTCCAGTAATCTTGTGAATGCACTTTGAGCTAAATGTCCAGATGAAAGATTTAATGAAAAAAGCAGCTTAGAGCATCTGGCCACTTGGTTTCCATCCAGCACAGTACTGAAGGACTCAAATGGAGATATATTCTGAGGGGTCACCACCCAAAGTGTAATATGCATGGCAGGGAAGCTTTCCATCACTTGTCATGGGGAGTCAAGTTGCTATAAATCTTAGGAACAAGATGGTTTTCCCTTCACTATGTTTTTATGAGAAACAGGTTACTGATAATAACTGCTCTGACACTTCGACCTACTTCCTAGTGAATTTTGCATTAGTATGTTACTGTTCATGCTCTGTGGGGATAGAATTTCCCTCTCAGAACTGCCTGATGGATCTGAGCTTCACTGAGCTTTTCTGCTAAAGCAGAGATCTCACCCTGCTGTCAATGGGAGCTCAACAGGCTGTGTTAGCACAAGGGCTGTGATCCTAAATTGTCCCCAATGTACTCAGCTTCTGGGTGGCTCCAGATTTTACTTTTGGTATTCCTTGGATAATTTTTCCTGTCGGAGAAGCTCTTAAAACAGATCCGCTGAGGCACAATGCTATCACAGATCTCTGTGGTCACTCAAGAGACCACGAGCAGGTGCAAAATCAAACCAAAACCATCATTTCACAGTTCACAGGGTCAGTTTTCTCTGTTCCAAAGAAAGGACTCAGCTGCATTTTGCAGCTCAAAATCCAGCCAGCAGGAGATGATCAGTTCAGAAGCATTCCTTTTTTTTGCAGGGGGTACATCCCTGCTGTCCAGAGGCACAAGTCCCATTCAATGAGATCAACAGATACCCCATTTGGGAAATAAGGAGATAAATGGACATGGTACTAGAGATTCATCCTGGTAGCAAGAGCTCCTCCTCAGAGCAAAGCAAGGAAGTTCTATGCAGGGAGAACATCTGTGTTTGTGTTTCTATAAGTTTGAGGAGTTTAAAGCACCAACTATAGAGAAATAGCCAATAACAAGAAAACACAAGTATGGTTGTTTAATGAAATTTTGAAAAATATTTCACCTGTTTCAGAGTAGAAAATGCTGAGGGAAACCATGTCATCACTATTACTTGTGTTATTTAACCAATCCATTCTTTCTAATAAAGAACCAGGAGAAATAAAACCCCATTGATCTTTATTTATTGACTTCCTAGTGAGTATAGTTAAAGTTGACACAAATCAATCACAATAAAGTTAAAAGGATAATATAGCATAATATGACCCAAGATTGTACTGCTGGTTTAATTACTGAAACCCAAAGTTTTGGCATATGTGGAACAGTGAAGAGAAACGTCCAGTTAATCGTATTCAGATGCACACTGCAAAAGGATAGGGAAATTCTTGGTGCTTGTAACATTTTTAAATGTTTTCTCAGCCAAAGCAGGTAGAAAATATAGAAATGTGAGGGGAAATAGGTCTCTTTCTACGGGAATAAATGGCTCTTTGATTTCCTTTTCTCTTCAGTCATTGCCATTAATTTAAAACTTTCCAGGCATTCTGCAGGCAGTAAAATGGGCCAAAATATTCTTTGCTGTCAAAAGTAAATCTGGTTATAGTTTTGCTTTTCAAAGATGGTTGGCAAAAGGCAATGCCAATAGAGAGCACTGCTGCCTTATGCTCTTTAAATATGGGAAATAAGAAGAAACAAGAAATCTTCTGAGACAAGAACAGGAATATTAAAATCACAACTGACAAGACAAACCTAGTTTTCCTCACCATCCCTCTGTTATCTGCCACTACCTTAGTGTTAACTTTTTAAGAGTGTGTGTCCTCTCAGAGAAGAAAACAGACCCGTTGCAGGAAAGCATAGTGTGGGTTTAAGATTGGAGGAAATGATGCTCTTCTAGTTCATTAAGTGATGACAAAGGTCTTTTGAGATCTTTCAGAACCTTTTTGTAAATTAATTCATACTGGAAGGGACTTGGTTTGCATGGACAGAGCTCCAGATCTCTCCCTGCCCTATTTCCTTGGCTGGGAACAGCCTGATTGCTGTGGGATGTAGAGGAGGTTTGTAAAACTATGAGTGGCATGGAGGCAGCACCAAAGCATGAAGGAAACAGCTGCTTCCTTCCTTTTTAAAAAGATCCAGGAGGCATCAAATGAAATTTGCAACTGTTTGATCAAAAATAAAAAAAAAAGAAAATCCAAACCCAAAAGGAGATGGTTCCCCCAGCGTGTGAACAAGCTGCACATCAACTCCTTGCAGAACTGTGGGAATGCCCCTCTCAAGGACTAAACTGACTCAAACATTGGAATAGAAATCCAAACAAAGGCGACCTTGCCTAAATTTCAAAATGGAAAACATAAAATTATATTAATTGGTTAATGTCATCAAAAAACTAATTATCATAGCTGTAATTTTCCTACCCAGTCCTTTTTTCCCCCCCTACTGATAAATAATAATTATCTATTGGCTACAATAATGCGACAGTCACAAAAGCACAATCCGTTAGGATTTAATTGTAATTCCCACAAGGAAAAGTTTCTGCTTTTAGAGGATCCCAGTAGGATTTGCAGCATTAGGACCAAGCTCTGCAAAGGCATCTTGCCAGTTGGTATGAGAATACAACTGGTAGTTCAGATGTACTGCTGAGGACACGAGAGAAGGTGTGTGGCAGAGATTCCACCACCAAGGAGCACTGGAAAAATGTGCAGGGTATTTAACTCTCATTCCCAATGGAATACCTTTGGAAATGATGCAGCGAGAAACATTGGGGGAGTTTTCCTATTGTTCAAAATCCACCATTGCCTAAGATTTGACAGGAAGCTGAACATGAGCCAGAGTGTGCCCAGGTGGCCAAGAAGGCCAATGGATCCTGACCTGGATCAGGAACAGTGTGGCCAACAGGTCCAAGGAAGTGATTCTTGCCCTGGACTCAGCACTGGTGAGGTCACACCTGGAGTGCTGTGTCCAGTTCTGGGCCCCTCAGTTCAGGAAGGACATTGAGGTCCTGGAGCAGGTCCAGAGGAGAGCAACGAGGCTGGGGAAGGGACTCGAGTGCAAGTGCTATGGGGAGAGGCTGAGGGAGCTGGGGCTGTTCAGCCTGGAGAAGAGGAGGCTCAGGGGAGACCTCCTCACTCTCTGCAACTCCCTGACAGGAGGGTGTAGCCAGGTGGGGGTTGGTCTCTTCTCCCAGGCAACTCTCAGCAAGACAAGAGGGCTCGGTCTTCAGCTGTGCCAGGGAAGGTTTAGGTTGGATATTAGAAAGAATTTCTTTACAGAGAGGGTGATCAGTCATTGGAATGGGCTGCCCAGGGAAGTGGTGGATTCTCCATCCCTGGAGGTTTTTAAGATGAGACTGGATGTGGCATCAGTGCCATGGGTTGGGAACCACAGTGGTGTTGGATCAAGGGTTGGACTTGATGATGTCGGAGGTCCCTTCCAACCCAGCTGATTCTGTGATTCTATGAAAAACAAACTTTAGCTTTTCACCACAATGCACCTTTAAAATATAACCAGCCCTTACGCCTGACTTGAAGTTCAGCAGCCAGCGGGGGCATTGAAGAAACGCTGGGCCAGAGCAAGTGCTGAGTCATGTCAAAGTGACACAATAATATGGGCAGTTATCACCCCGTGCATTATTTATCACCGAAACCCACCGACGGCCGTGCTTACACTGGAACCCTCCTGTGATATTGAAGGCCAAAGTGTCTCCTCTCCCTAACAACGGTGTTGTATCTTTGGCAACTCGAGCAGGAACTGGGAAAATCAATAGCACTTCATGAGCAAGGGCTCAGGCTTCTCCTTTTACGAGGATTCTGTCAATGCAAGTGGCCATTACTGTACTTTAAAGGCACGATATAAAATTGCCTCCACAAGATATAAGACACACGGTTTGAAAGAACCTGGTGAGAGTATTTTAGTCAAAGTTAAATAGTTTCATCACGTAATTACTTCTATTGGCACATCTCCAGCTGGAGATGCCGGTGCGGGGTGTGCACTTTCTGGGATGGGGTGGGGGAATTGTCAGGGAGGGCTGTGGATGGATTCAGGTTGATCTAAACAAGGTCAAACTGCTAAAATGGAGCCACAGCCATCCAAGACTACTGACAGTAACAAAACAACAAAGTTGCTGTCTTTTTGTTTTTCTCTATCTTTTTTTTTTTATTTTAATCTAAGTGGTCTGAAAGTAGTTTTAGTTTTATGGCTGCAAAATATGTCATCTTGATTTGCAGACTGGTAATTCATTTTCTAAGGACTGTTTAGAATTTATTCAGGGGGAAAAAGGAAGCTGTGCTGGTTCCTACAACTGATTCACATTATATGACAAAATTTAACTTTTGTGTTTTATGGGATTTTATGAATT